GCTTCACCAACAAGGTTCTCAACAATCAGAGTTGTTGAGAGAATAGGGTGCTCAACAGTTTGAACTGTTGAGACAGCAGCAGGCTGCTGCTGGTGGGTCGATGCACTCGCGTCGACCCGAAACCTTGAAGATTGACATCTCCAAGTACAGGGGAGTCGAAGAGGACTCTCTCTTGAGATGGTTCGTCGAATTGGACGACGCCATAAGGGCGCGTCGCATCGACGATGGAGAAATGCAAGCTGCATTTGCCCAATCAAATCTGACAGGACGTGCCAAGACTTGGGCACTGGGGCTCAAGTTGCACGACCCATGTGCGTTTGGGTCGTTAAAAGTCTTTGAGTCACGGCTCAGACAAACGTTTGAACCGCCTAGAGCTGAGTTCAGAGCTCGAACTGAACTTTTGAAGCTCAAACAAGGTAAGCGTCATGTACACGCTTACGCACAACATATACGACATCTCACGAGTTGTGTAAGTTCCAACCCGGTGGATGAACACACGTTGGTTTCGGTGTTTATGCAGGGTCTTGCGGATGGTCCCGTCAAGAATCACCTGTTCCGACCTGAATTGGATTCACTAGAACAAGCCATTTCCATTGTAGAACAGGAGGACTTCAGTCTGAGACAGGCTCGCGCCATCTCGACATCATATCGTCAACCGAGACGATATGACAACGGGGGTCCAGAGCCGATGGAACTCTGTTATGTAGAGAGCGAGAAGGCTCGCTCTACAGACTACAAGAAGTTGCAGAAATGCAACAGATGTCAGAAGACAGGACACTAAGCTTACGAGTGTAGTGCCCCTCGTCCAGTGTCTCGCAACACTGGGCGTAGTGACCGTCCACACATGAGAAAGGGGCAGGGACGCGGGTCCGCTGTTGGTGCAAAGACGCAACAACGGGATGGAACGTCAAAAAACGGACAGGATCAGTAGGTGCGGAGCACCCTACTGGTCCAGCAACGTCAAGAGGATTTGCAGGCCTCTTGATGAAGGTTGCTCCCAACATACAAACGTTGTGCGTTGCTGCTCTAGGTAATGAGATCTCACTCATTACGTTGAAACTCGAAGTGACAAAAAAGTTGTCCCTTCGAGCTCTAGTCGATTGTGGGGCGTCCAACAATTTTGTGCGACGCCAATCGCTAGAAGATGGTCACCTTAAGTTCAGTGAATGTGACACACCTCCTACGAGGATGAAGGTACGTCTTGCGACAGGCGCATCCGTAACCTTCATGAAACGTATAGTGCAGATCCACTATACGCTAGGAGGTACCCAATATGATGATGACTTTATCGTATTGGATTTGGATGACAAATTTGATGTCATCCTTGGAATACCGTGGCTCAGAAGGTACGAACCACGGGTAAACTGGCAACATCGAACAGTAACGATGCCTGCCGCTTGTTCATCAGATGGCCATCTGATGAACGTTTTGGAGCGTCCACAAGCGTGTGGATGTACTACGAGTGAGTGCGATGGCCTCACTTGTGGTACGGTCGTTAGTACGACTGCACAAAACCTTAGTGTACCAAACGGTTACACTTCGGAGCAAAGTTCCGGCGGCTGTGAGGAAACACAGGCTGCGCCGAAGGTCCACCACTCGAATAAGTCGAGTGGACTGGGACAAAGATGTATCCCTAGTGGGGAACATCTAGAAGAGAAACAATCGATCGCTCAGGTTAAGCGAAACGATAATCCTAGATCGACTGGAGAGTCTTTCGTAGAGGATCTCGCTGTGGTTGCGCAACCCCAGCTAGAGGAAGTAAAGGAAATAAGTCCCAATATTACAAATACGGCGGAAATAAGTTCCCCGAAACCCGTGGGAATAAGTCCCCGGGAAGCCGAAGGAATAAGTCCTTCGAGGCCTGCGGGAATAAGTCCCCAGTAAATGACAGAGACATTGAATGTCCTAGTCAATGACGGATCACGTGTAGGCGCTTATACACTTGATCTGATTGCGTCTCCGAAGTTAGCTTCGGATACCACTCAGTTGCCAACGCTCGAACATAAAAGGTTCTTGCGTGATCTGCGTAGTGGCAAAGTCAAGCAGATCTGCGTACTCGTCGCTGACGACGAGTGTGTAACCGACATAAGATCAGCAACAGTGTTTACTGAGAACGAGAGAGTTCTCAGTAGTTCATCTATGGACGAGAGTGTCCTAGATGAAAAGACACGAATTGAGCGATATGACTCCCAATCGTGGGAATCGCTCAAGACAAATCCTCTCTATGAAGATTTGGTTGAATTCAAGGATGTATTCCCTGAAACTGTTCCGTGCGAATTACCGAAGGATAAAGGTATTCGACACGAGGTCGAGCTTAAACCAGGCTTGAAGTACTGTGTCATGAAGCAGTGGCCACTGCCTCGTGAAGCGATCGACAAGTTCTTTGCCGATCGTTTATCTGCGGGCCATGCAAGGGAATCAACTTCCCCACATAGCTCTCCGACCTTCTGTGTGCGAAAAGCAACAGGAGGGTGGCGGATAGTGCATGCATTTAACAAGTTGAATGCTGTAACGGTACCGGCTCAGACGCCGATACCGAGGAAGGACGTAATCATTGATGGTATGTCGAAGAGTACCATCTTTTCGTCCATGGATTTAATGGATGGCTTCTATCAAATCCTTATGCGAGGACCGGACATAAAATACACCGCAGTGAGCACGCCTAGCGGCATGCTCTGGGAATGGCTAGTAATGCCACAAGGGCTTAGTAATGCCCCTGCCACGTTCAACAGATGTGTATCACATCTGTTGAGACCAGTACGAGAATTCGCGCCGAGTTATTTCGATGACGTATTCATCCATAGTCGGGCTGTGGATGGAAAGTCGGACGTTGAGGTTCACAGGTACCACGTCCGACAGGTTCTTACAATCATGCGAAAGCATCAATTGTATGCAAATCTCAAGAAGTGCAAATCTCAAGAAGTGTATATTTGCAGCAAGCGAAATACCACTTCTTGGGTGCATCGTTGGTAAGAACGGTGTACGTCCTGGTCCCGAAAAGATCAAGGCGATCACCGACTGGCCTGTGCCGGTTGATGTCAAAGGTCTTCGAAAATTCCTTGGGCTAGCGGCGTATGTGCGCAAGTATTCACGCAATTACACCGAGATGACTGTGCACCTCTCTCGTTTGTTGAAAACGAACGAGAGGTGGTTATGGAACGCTGAATGTCAGCGCTCCTTCGATGGTATCAAGAAGAGCGTGATACAATCCCCAGTCCTAGCAATTGCCGATCAGGACAGGCCATTTCATGTGGTCTGTGATGCTAGCGATTTAGCAATCGGCTGTGCATTGATGCAGTACGATCTTGAAGGCGTTAAACGCATCGTCTGCTATCAGTCGCGTCAGCTGCAACCAGCTTAGCGGAACTATCCAGTGCATGACAAGGAACTCCTTGCCGTGAAGTATGCACTAGCGAAGTTCAAAGTCTATCTATTAGGAGATAGACCCTTCATTGTTTACACTGACCATGCGTCATTACGCACGGCAGTGAACAGCCCGCACCTTTCACAACGAATGGCGCGGTGGCTGTCATTCTTTGCAGAATACAACTTTACGGTCGAGTACAAACCAGGACGACTTAATGTCGTCGCTGATGAACTCTCACGTCGTCCCGACTTTGAAACAGTCGCGAAACCCAACAGTGCTACAGCCAATGTTGCGGTTATGACGTCCTCAGTCCCATCTACAACGTTGTATGATGATGTGAGGCGGGCATACGCCCAAGATGTTGAGATTGTGAAGTTGCTGACACATCTCTCCCAACCATCTCGAGAATCGTTGAAACGATTGTCGCCTGCGTATCGATCTGCATCAGATCGATACACTACTCGTAACGGTTTACTGTACTATACAGCCGTTTCTGGTGACACACCACGTGTTGTCATTCCAGATGATACTGATCTGCGTTTGCGGATCATGTTCGAGTATCACGATGCTCCTATAGGAGGACATCGTGGCCGGGAGAAAACATATCTCACGGTGAGTCGAGACTTTTACTGGCCCCGCCAGTATCAGTTTGTGCGAAAGTATGTTCGCGCATGCGAAGTCTGCCAACGAGTGAAGTCAAGTCCTTCACTGCGTGCACCTTTACAGCCTTTACCAGTTTCGTCAGAGTGCTAAGAATCCATCTCAATGGATTTCGTCTTCGGGTTACCCAAAGACGCACGCAAGAATACGGGTATTCTCGTATTTGTTGACAGATTCAGCAAAATGGTACACCTTGTGGCTGTACCAGAGACAATCACGGCAAGTGGCTGTGCTTGTGTCTTTATTGACACCATTTTCCGACTTCATGGGTTGCCCCGTGAACTCGTATCAGACAGAGATCCACGATTCACTGCTGATTTCTGGCTTTCCGTGTTCAAATCACTCGGAACGCGCTTGAAGATGACGACATCTGATCATCCAGAGTCAGATGGTCAGACGGAACGAGCCAACCTTGTCCTTGAAGAGATACTTCGAGGATACGTACACTCCTTTAAGAGTTGGAGTGAGTTTTTGCCAATGGTAGAGTTTGCCATCAACAACTCCATGCATGCGTCCGCGACACATAAACCGTTTTACGTGAATGGCTTGCGCCATCCGCGTGTACCCACTTTACTCGAGTGTAACTCCGGTTTAAGGGGGGGAGGGACTCGCGCGAGCAAAAACCGAATTGGTTCACGCTCATCACGCTCTGACGATGAGGTCATTGCGTTTGATGCCGATATCGACAACATCAATATCAAAGAAGATGGTGCCAGTGAGAGCGAGGAAGCCCTCACTGAAAAAAAGGTTGATGTTGCTGCAGTGCACTCACAGCGCACTGAAGCTAACGAGTCAGCAGATGAGTTCATACTGGCTCGTGAAACGGTAGTCCGTTTTGAGCAAGACTCCATCGCCGAAGCGGTGGATAAGCAAAAGCAAAACGCTGACAAGAATGGAAGGGCAAACACTCTTTTATTTAAAAAAGTTGACTTAGTCCTACTGTCTACGGTTAATCTGCCAAAGCATGTAGTGACTAACTTGGGTAGTAGTAAACTACTACCCAAGTACATCGGTCCATTTCGTGTATTGCATCGCCTAGGCAACGCATACACGATCGAACTGCCACGTAAGAGGCGAACGCATCCCACGTTTTACGTTGGTCGGAGTACGCCGTACCATCAGTACGCTGTTTCTTCCGATGAAGAACGCCCTTGCGCTCAAGTATCTCACAGAGAGCCTTGTGTTCCCGATGGTGGATATCAACAAGTGTCTGAAGAGCAGTTATCTCATCCCGAGACCGATCAACAATCCCACGAGCTACCCTTAGCTCGTCACGAAGAGATGTCAAAGCTCTCTCGTTCTCAAGCTGAGCAAAGGCAAACTCAGCTCGATGCTTCAAGACAGTGTCCGCCATTTGGAGACGCCTGTTCCGCTCATGTTCGAGATCGTTGCGTAACCCTTGCGTCACGCGATCAAAGAAGCTCTCGGAAACACACCGATCCACATGATCGTGTGGAGAGCGTCTTTCCTCCTCCTCCACCTCCATTAGAGGACTCTCGCGGTGGCCAGCGCTATCTAGTTGAGCAGCTGTTGAACCACCGCGACGTGAACGGACGTCGGACGAGTTATCTCGTCCGGTGGAGCGGCTATGCCCCGTCTTGGGATACTTGGGAGCCCCACTCCCAACTGATGATCGACACACTGGGTCTGGTTGAGCAGTACGACGCGGCACATCCTGTGCCGCAGAAGGACCGCCGGAGAAAGTCTTCCCGGCACGGTCGTAAAGGGATTTCAGGTTGTAAATCCCTTCGTACATCTCAGTAGAGATACGTACGCGCCACCACGGGCTAGTAAGGAGGTAAGCCTCCTTAGGTGCGCGCGCAGAGTTGTTCACACAACAAGGGCACGGGTCTGTCCAGGAGAGGCAGGGTAATCCCTTCTCCCTTGAAAGACGATGCAGCTTGTAGCGTGCACCTGTCGGGGTTCGCTTTTCAAACTTATCACGAGCTTTGACAAGTTTGTCGTTCCAAGCGTCACGACCTACATCCTCAAGGTTATGGATGTAGGCGTTCCACGCCTGAAGTAGTGAGGGACCATCACGCTTGTGATTCCCACTGTACTATCGATGTCTAAAGAAAGCATCGATGAAGAAATCATTCTCAGCGCGATAGTTTTCCGTGCTGGGGTGTCAAGGTGATGGATCCTTGACGAATCGAACAACCGTGTTCGATAACGATCACTAGTCGTCGCCGACAAGTGATCCATGACGGATTTGGGAGGCATTTATGCCTTCTTCTCGGGAGCGAGACGCAAGACACTGCGGTTCAGCTCTTCCTGCGACGTGCCGACAGAAGGACTGGCACCTCGTTGCGAAGTGGTGTCAATAGGAGAACCGACACCACTGTGAGCGCCCGAGTCTCGCGACCTCGAGCGCCTTCGCTTTGGCGATGCTTCATTTGATTCGTCAGATGAGCCAAAGATGCTACGACGCGTAGCATCATCCATGCCACGCTTGGCAGGCGGCTTGGATTCGATCGCCGTCGATACGGATCCCTCTTCCGTATCAGGAGAGGATGAGACACCGAGCTCATACTCTGTGAAGACATGAGTGTCTTCATGACCAGCGCCTGCATCACCAAGTGACACAGGCTGAGTCGCTTCAGCAACCGATGAGACATCGGTTGCAGCGGTTTCTGCTTCGGCGTTTGTACGGAGACGTGCAGACGCGCTCTCGGCGGCCTTGCTCGCGCATCGCATGGGCTTGTTAACCATGCGATGAAATGTTGGGAAGTGGACTCGGACCAACAAGTGCAAACCCTGTCCCAAATGATTTGGGACGAGTATCCATTTAGTCAATCAGTCACTAAAGTGAATGATGGTTAAGGGGGGGTGATGTAACGGGGTGAATCGTTACATAACAATTTATAAGAAATTGTTAATAGAATATAACTGTAAGAGTTATGTTCTCAGAATATTGTCATAAGGACAAATATTCTGCAGCACTTACGAGTAGTTCCTAATTGGTTGATATAGGCCATTATATCAACCAACGGAGACGCGCCACGACAGACGCACGCAATGAGTGGTGAGCAGATAGTTGGTATACACATTTGTATTTAGACATAGTTAGATGAGGATAAATAGTGATTTATTAACAGACATTAACTATGATAAATACAGTTCTACTTTTTACTTTAAGCAAGTACTCGCTTCTTCTGACCGTCTTCCTCTGCACGTACGAGTGTACGTGAAGTTACGAGGCACCGCCTTATTCTGTCATCCGAATAAGTAGCTTGTACTGTCACCAGTACAAGCTTCATGGTGCCCCGTTACATACCACCAGTCGCTACTAGACGCGCGTGATGAGTGGTGAGCAGGTTTCTGTCATAGAACGACGATGTTTAAATAGTTAGATAAAGATTAAAGTTGTATTGATAGCTTAACTGTATTAAATACAGTTCTCTTGTAACCTTCACTTAAACGAGTCGTTTGAGTAGATTAGCTTCCTCTGCACGTACTAGTCTACGTGAAGTTTCGTGGTACCCCAAACTAAGGGTGCCCCGCTACAAATTTCCTCAAGTCAGTGGGTTGGGTGCCTTGCTAGATCGCTTTAAAAGGGGAGGTCTATTACACTATTTTCGGCGCCCCGAAATGCATGTCACTGATATTATTTCTCTGCTAAATATGTACTAAATGCTGATACTGTCTCCAGCAGCTCGATTAGTCCTATCGTTTAGTAGTGGGCTTGATTTGATGAAAGGGCACTCTTTACAACCGCCAACAAGTCAAAAAATAGCTGCTTTGACTTTTACGCAAGCGGACACAACAATTTTACCTCGAATAAATGTCAGAGGACAGTGGACAAGAGTCTCTCAGGCTTCGACAAGGTTTTTGTGGTACATGTCAGCGAAAAAATTCATACACCCTGCCGCAGATGTATAGAGGCTTCTTCGTCATGTCCTTGGATGACTCGATGAAACAAGCGCTTACGGATGCAAACAAGCAGAAGCATATATAAATGATGGCGATCATTTCTATGTAGTTCAGCTTGCTCGCAGAACATACGTTGTAGAGAGTGCGAACATAAGAAGCAACAAACAAACAATGACAACGACGGCTGTTTTTTAAACAACATGCGATATAGTCCAAAAAGAAAAAGACCTTGCCAACAAAGGCAAACGAACGGACGACATTTGGTAGACAGGTCAAGGAGTAACATTTACATTCCAAATTTGCATTCATCTTATTGCATCGTCATCTACAACTCTCAGAGTGTAAGCAATGGACTAGGACAGCTTATTTGAACCCTACTCATTAGGGCCCTAACCATCGATCACTGGAGAAGCCGGGTGACGGGCACACCACAGTCATGTGACTACAACCCGTCGCACTTTCGGTTGCAGCACGACTCCAAATCCGTGTAGCTCTTGATTTCCGTCAAGCACATCTGTTGAGCATCAGACGGAGTTCGAGGAACTACGCAGGCCGTATTTTCGTCGCATTTCAAATTACGAACCAAATCGTCGCAGCACGTACCGACTCGAGCTCCGTTCCCTCGACCTTCGTTTCTTTGACCTTTCAGGCAGTGATCTCGAATGCTCTTTATGACATCATCTGTCAACGTTTTTTGGGGGCACACCGACGAAATCGATTGGCTCGAGCTGGATGGAATTACAACTGAGGCAATAGCCATAATAACGATGAATTTGGTCTTCATTTCAGTTAAAATGACTCAAAGAGGGCAAACAACGCAAATTAAGGAATGATGATAGAGTAAAATCGCTAGGGTCGACAACGCCGTATGCGCAATCCAAGTTCACGTGCGACACGATGGAAACACCAAGACGATAGTTGGACGACACTGCAGGAGGGAATCACCATCCCATGATTCCATTTCCAGCAGCACGCGTCGTGCTGAGGTTTGTTTTGTCAGCTGACAGTTATTGTAGGTTCATGCCAGCGTTCACTGACACCCTCTACAACTCCATCCCTTTGCAAGTCGTCCTCCGATCTGGCATCGCTACGTTTCTAGCTAGACCATACAACTCGGAGCGAGTACTCCTCGATGACTTCATAATGCTACATAATTTGTCACAGCTTTTCTTGATTCTGCTTGCAGTGTGAATCCAAAAGCAGGCAGAGCGGGATTTGTACTACTGGTCCATCAGCTGCCATGTCTCCCACTGCAAGAATTTCCGTTGTTTCTACTGTGGATAGTCCGATCATGCCGTAAACACGACATAGAATCCAGTACTTTTACTGGGGTGGCGTTTGCGATGGCAGACCGCAAGGGTCGACAACGCCGCATGCGCAATCCAAGTTCACGCGCGACACGATGGAAACACCAAGACGATAGTTGGACGACACTGCAGGAGGGAATCACCATCCCATGATTCCATTTCCAGCAGCACGCGTCGTGCTGAGGTTTGTTTTGTCAGCTGACAGTTATTGTAGGTTCATGCCAGCGTTCACTGACACCCTCTACAACTCCATCCCTTTGCAAGTCGTCCTCCGATCTGGCATCGCTACGTTTCTAGCTAGACCATACAACTCGGAGCGAGTACTCCTCGATGACTTCATAATGCTACACAATTTGTCACAGCTTTTCTTGATTCTGCTTGCAGTGTGAAGCCAAAAGCAGGAAGAGCGGGATTTGTACTACTGGTCCATCAGCTGCCATGTCTCCCACTGCAAGAATTTCCGTTGTTTCTACTGTGGATAGTCCGATCATGCCGTAAACACGACATAGAATCCAGTACTTTTACTGGGGTGGCGTTTGCGATGGCAGACCGCAAGGGTCGATAACGCCGCATGCGCAATCCAAGTTCACGTGCGACACGATGGAAACACCAAGACGATAGTTGGACGACACTGCAGGAGGGAATCACCATCCCATGATTCCATTTCCAGCAGCACGCGTCGTGCTGAGGTTTGTTTTGTCAGCCGACAGTTATTGTAGGTTCATGCCAGCGTTCACTGACACCCTCTACAACTCCATCCCTTTGCAAGTCGTCCTCCGATCTGGCATCGCTACGTTTCTAGCTAGACCATACAACTCGGAGCGAGTACTCCTCGATGACTTCATAATGCTACACAATTTGTCACAGCTTTTCTTGATTCTGCTTGCAGTGTGAATCCAAAAGCAGGCAGAGCGGGATTTGTACTACTGGTCCATCAGCTGCCATGTCTCCCACTGCAAGAATTTCCGTTGTTTCTACTGTGGATAGTCCGATCATGCCGTAAACACGACATAGAATCCAGTACTTTTACTGGGGTGGCGTTTGCGATGGCAGACCGCAAGGGTCGACAACGCCGCATGCGCAATCAAAGTTCACGTGCGACACGATGGAAACACCAAGACGATAGTTGGACGACACTGCAGGAGGGAATCACCATCCCATGATTCCATTTCCAGCAGCACGCGTCGTGCTGAGGTTTGTTTTGTCATACGACAGTTATTGTAGGTTGAGTAAATCTCACTATCAGCACCAATCCTAATATCAGCACATGCCAATACTAAATTTAGTGCAGATCACCTTAAATTCTTTTAGTAGTATGCCTGTGACTATCGCGTTTATGGAGAAGTGATGGAAAGTTGGAGAATGCGCTTTGCGATTCGATGCAAAGTGCGATGCGTGAGCGAGACATGGGTGACGCCAGGAACATGTGTGGTATGTCACATGATTTATGTGCATGGTTTGGTGAGGAACTGACGCAGAGTCTATCTGTGTGCTGTACGACTTGCCATGTCGGGATTTACGTAACAAGAGTAGGTAAGGCTTTCGCCCCGTAACGGGGCACCTTGAAGCTTGTACTGATGACAGTACAAGCTACTTATTCTGATGACAGAATAAGGCGGTGCCTCGGAGCTTCAGTACACTCGTACGTGCAGAGGAAGACGGTCAGAAGAAGCGAGTACTTGGTTAAAGTAAAAAGTAGAACTGTATTTATCATAGTTAATGTCTGTTAATAAATCACTATTTATCCTCATCTAACTATGTCTAAATACAAATGTGTATACCAACTATCTGCTCACCACTCATTGCGTGCGTCTGTCGTGGCGCATCTTCGTTGGTTGATATAATGGCCTATATCAACCAATTAGGAACTACTCGTAAGTGCTGCAGAATATTTGTCCTTATGACAATATTCTGAGAACATAACTCTTACAGTTATATTCTATTAACAATTTCTTATAAATTGTTATGTAACGATTCACCCCGTTACATCACCCCCCTTAACCATCATTCACTTTAGTGACTGATTGACTAAATGGATACTCGTCCCAAATCATTTGGGACAGGGTTTGCACTTGTTGGTCCGAGTCCACTTCCCAACATTTCATCGCATGGTTAACAAACCCATGCGATGCGCGAGCAAGGCCGCCGAGAGCGCGTCTGCACGTCTCCGTACAAACGCCGAAGCAGAAACCGCTGCAACCGATGTCTCATCGGTTGCTGAAGCGACTCAGCCTGTGTCACTTGGTGATGCAGGCGCTGGTCATGAAGACACTCGTGTCTTCACAGAGTATGAGCTCGGTGTCTCATCCTCTCCTGATACGGAAGAGGGATCCGTATCGACGGCGATCGAATCCAAGCCGCCTGCCAAGCGTGGCATGGATGATGCTACGCGTCGTAGCATCTTTGGCTCATCTGACGAATCAAATGAAGCATCGCCAAAGCGAAGGCGCTCGAGGTCGCGAGACTCGGGCGCTCACAGTGGTGTCGGTTCTCCTATGGACACCACTTCGCAACGAGGTGCCAGTCCTTCTGTCGGCACGTCGCAGGAAGAGCTGAACCGCAGTGTCTTGCGTCTCGCTCCTGAAAAGAAGGCATGGATGCCTCCTAAATCCGTCATGGATCACTTGTCGGCGACGACGAGTGATCGTTATCGAACACGATTGTTCGATTCGTCAAGGATCCATCACCTTGACACCCCAGCGCGAAAGACTATCGCGCTGATAATGAATTCTTCATCGATGCTTTCTTCAGACATCGATGGTACAGTGGGAATCACAAACGTGATGGTCCCTCACTACTTCAGGCGTGGAACGCCTACATCCATAATCTCGAGGATGTAGGTCGTGACGCTTGGAACGACAAACTTATCAAAGCTCGTGATAAGTTTGAAAAGAGAACCTTGACAGGTGCACGCTACAAGCTGCATCGTCTGTCAAGGGAGATTGGGTCACCCTGCCTCTCTTGGGGAGACTCGTGCCCATGTTGTGTGAACAACTCTGCACGAGCACCTAAGGAGGCTTACCTCCTTACTAGCCCGTGGTGGCGCGTACGTATCTCTACTGAGATGTACGAAGGGATTGACAGCCTGAAATCCCTTTACGACCGTACCGGGAAGACTTTCTCCGGCGGTCCTTCTGCAGCACAGGATGTGCCGCGTCGTACTGCTCAACCAGACCCAGTACGTCGATCGTCAGTTGGGAGCGGGGCTCCCAAGTGTCCCAGGACGGGAGATAACCGCGCAACCGGACGAGATAACTCGTCCGACGTCCGTTCACGTCGCGGTGGTTCAACAGCTGCTCAACTAGATAGCGCTGGCCACCGCGAGAGTCCTCTAATGGAGGTGGAGGAGGAGGAAAGACGCTCTCCACACGATCATGTGGATCGGTGTGTTTCCGAGAGCTTCTTTGATCGCGTGACGCAAGGGTTACGCAACGATCTCGAACATGAGCGGAACAGGCGTCTCCAAATGGCGGACACTGTCTTGAAGCATCGAGCTGAGTTTGCCTTTGCTCAGCTTGAGAACGAGAGAGCTTTGACATCTCTGCGTGACGAGCTAAGGGTAGCTCGTGGGATTGTTGATCGGTCTCGGGATGAGATAACTGCTCTTCAGACACTTGTTGATATCCACCATCGGGAACACAAGGCTCTCTGTGAGATACTTGAGCGCAAGGGCGTTCTTCATCGGAAGAAACAGCGTACTGATGGTACGGCGTACTCCGACCAACGTAAAACGTGGGATGCGTTCGCCTCTTACGTGGCAGTTCGATCGTGTATGCGTTGCCTAGGCGATGCAATACACGAAATGGACCGATGTACTTGGGTAGTAGTTTACTACTACCCAAGTTAGTCACTACATGCTTTGGCAGATTAACCGTAGACAGTAGGACTAAGTCAACTTTTTTAAATAAAAGATTGTTTGCCCTTCCATTCTTGTCAGCGTTTTGTTTTTGCTTATCCACCGCTTCGGCGATGGAGTCTTGCTCAAAACGGACTACCGTTTCACGAGCCAGTATGAACTCATCTGCTGACTCGTTAGCTTCAGTGCGCTGTGAGTGCACTGCAGCGACATCAACCTTTTCTTCAGTGAGGGCTTCCTCGCTCTCACTGGCACCATCTTCTTTGATATTGATGTTGTCGATATCGGCATCAAACGCAATGACCTCATCGTCAGAGCGTGATGAGCGTGAACCAATTCGGTTTTTGCTCGCGCGAGTCCCTCCCCCCCTTAAACCGGAGTTACACTCGAGTAAGGTGGGTACACGCGGATGGCGCAAGCCATTCACGTAAAACGGTGTATGTGTCGTGGACGCATGCATGGAGTTGTTGATGGCAAACTCTACCATTGGCAAAAACTCACTCCAACTCTTAAAGGAGTGTACGTATCCTCGAAGTATCTCTTCAAGGACACGGTTGGCACGTTCCGTCTGACCATCTGACTCTGGATGATCAGATGTTGACATCTTCAAGCGCGTTCCGA